CTCACTTTGATCTGTATTTCAAATTTAGATCCGTTATCTTGCTGCTTTCATGTATGTCATTTTCGTGTGTATCGCTGCCTATGGCGTTGTTTCACGTGCGCTCACTATGTATTCGAGCCTTGAATTCACCGCTAGAAATCTCTCAAATGCTCTCTTCTATCGACCCTACTGGTTCTTATATTCAGTTGTCGACGATGAAAGGAATTATCTTGATGGTGAATTAGTTGTCTTCTAAAGATAAGAGTCGGAACATGTTTCGTATTATAGGAATTATCTCGTCAACCACGAGCTCGTCAGATCAAATAGCAGAGGCAACAGTCAATCACATTCTTTTGGCTTTTCACATGCTATTCATCAATATTCTTATTCTCAATCTTCTCATTGCTGTGTTCAAGTAAGTCGAATGAGAAGCAAACATCTCTATCAATAGCGCTATATGCTTTATACACACAGTTTTGCTATCAACGATGTTCAAGATAAGAATGAATACTTCTGGCGTTATCAACGTTATGAATTAATCCGCAAATATTTCGAAAAGCCGATGCTTGCCTTTCCACCTCTTTCGCTGTTCGCCTATATTTTGTTGTTGATCAAATTGATTTGGCGTCGACGCACGTCCTTTCGTGTGTTTAGTAAGTGCATACATATTTATTCTGAGATTAATAGAAAAAGAAATCAATCTACTATTCGACTCTTGCATCTAGAGCGTCTCGTCACACCTGAATTGAATAAACAATGGACAGACTTTGAAAATGCAGCCACATATGAGTACGCTCGTAATTTTGTCGAAGAGAAGTATCGATCGCAGAGTCAAGTCCATATTTCATCGTAAGTTTCGACATTTGATTTCGATTTTTAATGTCATATAGTATGCATAGGCTTGTGACTCAACCAGAAGGTGGTCTGACTCTACAGACACAAGTGGATGCATTGAACGAGAAGGCGACACAAATGCAAGAGGCCATCACTGAAATACAGGGGCATATAAAACAAGTGCGTTTTAGCAGCCTTCACTTTTTTTTGAACATTTTCCAATGATAATTACTTTGTTACAACAGATGATGACCGGCATCGATTGGATGATGAAGGCTATGGATCGTGTCAAAATGTCTTCGCAGCGATTGCCTATGTTGGAGTCTCCACAGAGATCAAGTGCGGAAAGGGATTCTGCTGTAAATTAACAATGTTTGAAATGTAGCCAGCACTTTTTTCAGAAAAAGAATTCAAAATATATATTAAAATTGTTCGAATACAAGAAAAATGTTCACAGTCTCGAAAGTAAATATCATCAGAAGTATTTCAACAATGTATGGGATGTACATGTGGGTGTGACCTTATGCGGAGTGGATGATGTGAAGTTTCACATCAACATCAACAACTACACGTGCTTACACCCACGTCCTCACACCAACACTCGATGCAATGTCTGCTTGCTACAGTCGTATTGATAACGTGTCACACTATCTGCTTCAGATATCGATGAATGCTTTTTTTTGTTTCTCTTGATTCTCTAACCCGCGACAGGCATTGGTATGTTTATGTTCTTTTGATGCGAGAATACCAAGATAAAAAGAAGAGTAGTATAGAAAGCTTTTTTCTATAATCCTACTGATAGAAACGCAATTGCTTACGCGATATATTTTTAAAGGTGGTCAGGATGATGGCTGTTGTATATAAAGGGCAGGAAAAACAAAACCAATATATTATTAGAGATTCCAATACACTAGCAAATCTTTTTTCAATAATATCATAAGGCAAACTTAATGGAGGCATGTGAATAAGTTTACAGAGAACAAATCAACAGAACATTGAGTAATCTTTGTTTTAAAAAAAGAATGGGATTTTACCTTTGCTCGATCGAAATTCGCACAGAAGAATTTAGTTTAAATAAACAAGGTACAGGTCTGCTCGGCAGTAACTTTCAATTCTAAGCAAATGTTTCCATGAAAGCAAAAGATGAGTTTTGCTTCTGAAAGCCATCATAAATTGAAACGTTAGCAGATTCTTCCAGAAGAAATCCTATTTCATATGAAGTTTGATAGTGCTCATTGACTTGAATACGAAACGAACACAATTGGAGATTTCTTGAAGTGTTTGTCAGTGCAGGCATAGCTTCGTGTTTGTATATCTCTCTTGCTCTCTACCAAAATTGACTCCCATAACTACACCACACTCATACCCTTGTACTACATGCTTTGAAATTCAGGGAATTCCAAAAGCATTTCACACCCAAGTACGAAATCTTTTGCGGCTCGCTTGCAAAGATTTTTCTCGTCTGTCTATGAAAACAGCTTTTAAGGTCCTTCAATACCCGTTCTTTCTTATAGTTTAGGCACAGTGATTGTAGTCATCAAACAAAATTCACTTTATGTACTACAGGCAAAGATTTTAATCAGCTTTTAAGGTGGTCTGCTCATGTGTTCTGAAATCCTATGAACCCTATTGCTAATCTGACAAATATTCGCTCGCGTTTCGTTTTCGTTTGATGTAATTCAAGTCATTGTAGACAATTTGGATCGGAATTCCGAATCAAACAGTTCTAAAAATCTAAAAACACGATAGAACCAAAAATCCACTTGCATCTCTTATGATGACTAATCGTGGATGTTTCCTTGGACTGTGGGTTTGGAGGTAGGTGTGGATATAAAGCGTCGCGAAACCCACAACCATATCCCGATCTCGAGATTTTATTCTATTTGAAATGGTATTAAATCTCGAATGCTCAATGAATCTTTAAAAAAGTATAAATGAAAAAGCGTTATTGTTCAACAGTTTCTGTTGTTTATTGATATACATGGTGTGGGTGTGGGTGTAGGTGTAGATGTGGATGTGAATGGCATGAAGAAAGGAGTGTGGATGAATGCTGGTTTTATTTCAACCCTAACCCACCCACACCCACACCCACACCCACCCACAGCTACAGCCACAACTAGGCATGCACCCAAACTCAATAGAACAATTTGGGTATTTCAAACTTATCTCACTGACTATGAACTGTATCAATAAACTGTATCGCCATTAATATTGAAGGAAGTCTGCCTTTGACAACTAAATGGAAAATGATCAAATGAGCTGCTTCATTAAATGAGATATTCAAAGAGAACTGAACAACCCCCCAAACCCAAACCCAATGAGTTTGGGTTTGGGTTTGGGTTTTGTGATTGACTCTAGTATTTAGTCTAAGAAGGTTGTCGAAATTTCTCTTTCGGTATTCTATAGTGTCATCCTCCTACTTAAGTTTTTCACTGAAGAAAAACTGTTGTATAGCATGTTTCAGTAAATAAGGGCATTTTTCCTTATTAGGGCAGAAGTGACCCAAACGGTTTGGGTGCATGCCTAGCCACAACTACACCCGACACTCACACTCACACCCACATCCACACTCACATCCACATCCACATCCATATCCACACCTCTCACACTCACACCCACATATACACCCACACTCCACACTCAAAACTGATTTTGAATCCATGTCACTCCTATGTGTGATGGCACTCGAATGAACTCTAACACGTGGTGTACCGATATTTATAGGGCAGATCATGTCTCAAAAAGATCGAGTTATTTGTACTGAAAAATCTACTTTCATGCATTATAATAGAGCCGATTAAAAGTAGTTATTGCATCAATTTTGATTTGAACGCTTCATATGTACTCGGTTTTTGCAGAGTTTTCTGCGAAAATGTTTTAATCTAAACTTTTGCAACTGTTTTTAGTTGTGTACTTTCTACAATCATCAGAAGTTTATCGATTAATAGCTATTGATCCCATCCAACTGTACCCAGCAGGTTCCGAATCGTATGATGCCATTTCCTGTGGCGGAATGCGAACTCCACAACTGAATTGAAAACGACTGGAGCTGGGCATCGGAACTGAGGCGGAAACGGCGGTATATGGCTTGTATCCTGTTGCCATGATAAATTACTGGAATCGCATTCGGGAATCGTACCGAAAACAGGTGTCCGTAATCGGTGATCGCTTCCGGTTTCCGGGATTGATGGAAAGTATGCGGGAAACGGAGGCCGGGACCGATTTTGAAATCCTTCTACCATAATTCGCGGGAAATCCACCGAACCCTGCGGGTTTCCGCCGTACATCATTGACCTGAGTATGGAAGTACTCTAAGGATATAGTTGATATTATTTTTATAGGAATCAGACATGACTAGTTTGAATTTCACACTTTGATTTAAAATATTGTGCTATGTTTTGATTGGATAAAGTCACATCGGGACATATGCAAATTAACTAGAGGATATGAAAAGTTGTGAAATAACTTCAACGAAAAGTAACTTGGAATTCATTAATTTTGTATTTTTTGGTCTCACTAGTTTGATTTCGAGAAATTTTTCGTACAAAGTTCACTCGAGAAATATCACCCCAATGTTTGTCATGCATTCGGTATGGATTCTAGAGATTCATGAACTTTAGTTTAATGTATTATACCAAATCATTTTCGGCAAACTTTATCTATTGTTTTGAGATGTGGGGTGGTGTGGAGTTTGGATAAGTAGAGCATCCACACCCACCCTGATACCACGTCATCGGTCTACAAGAAAATATAGAGGAAGTCTTGATTATGCTAGGTATTCTTACATTTGAGTGCCCATCGCCACGTGATGAAGAGTGGTCTAATTAGATAGGCTTCTGTATACAATTCATGTCGAGTAAATAAATTGCCCTTCAAATGACTACGCCATTTGTCATAAGATGATTAATAGAATGAATCTTTATAATATTCTATGATTTAGTTTTTCTTCTTTTAGACATATGAACATCTCGATTCCTGACAACCACTCTCTCATTTAAGATACAACATTCGTCGACGAACTCAAACTCTAGCAGTAGTTAGTTGACTTATGAAGCATAATTATAACAAAATTTGCTTGAATTTCAATAAAACTATCGATTGTCGACAAACAAGAGTTAAGATCAACATATTAAATTTGGATCCTACGTGAAATTAGATTAACGTGCCACTTCTTTACTTGTGTAATTTTAGACTTTTGGTGGATTTTCCCTTAGAAAATTTCAAAATGGCTGATCTTGTTCGTAGAATTCTGAACGCATCTTATGAAAACTCTGAGCAAGATCGATACGCGTGGTGACAGCTCATCGATAATTGTTTAAACATGAAATTTTCTTCAAGCTTGCTTCTCAGTGCTCATCCTCAAGAAATAAGAATTATTACAAATTATCCATATATTCTTCATCGATTTGGAGAGGTTTGAATTTATGTAACAGATTGTAAACATACCTGATGAGTCTCTTAAGCAAGGACGAAACGTTGTGTGATCCTCTCAATCTCTCATATCATTTTATCCATACATCCTATCTCAACGATCATCATATTCTCGATCAACGTGTGATTGTACCACACACTTTATTCGTTTCCATTTGAACGATGAATTACAAATCAAAGGTTTAAAAAAAAATTGCACCATAGATAAATATACTTGAGTCAATGATTTTCTCGAAATAGCTTTTTAGTCCGATTAGCGTCAGTAAAAAAAGCGATTTCAGCGTATACGTCGACAAGATTTTCCGGTTTTTCGATATCCACTAACATGCCATTCATTGTCACGTTCACTTTTTCAAGAGTGTCTTTATTAAAATTACCGATACCCATCGTCCAAAAGTTAGTTATCATCGATTTGTATTCAGTGGATAGTCGCTTCAACTCATCCGTTGGATACTCTGCGGGCTCTCCATCTGTCATAAAGATAATCGTATGTCGAAGATGTTGTTGCTGGGACTTTTTCTTAATTTCTTCAAATATTTCAATCACTGTTTGAAATGCAGCCGAAAAGTTCGTGTCTCTCCCACATTCTGACTTGCCTATTTCGGTGATATCAATTTTACTTAATTCTTCAAGATAGCGAAGCCGCAAAGCTCGAGTTCCAAAAAGCACAATGCTCATTCGATCAGTAAGGCATGCTTTTCGAATTCGAATATTAATAAATTCTTTCACAGCGTTAAGTAAATGTTGCCATGGACTAAGATTTTCTGGGTCTGTGTAGAGTATTCTGCCCACCCAATCGAAAAATCCAAATGAATTCATCGAACTAGAATGGTCGATTACAAGGATAAAGTGATTTGCCGGTGGTGGACTATTTTGCTCGACATATCTCATTCCATTATCAAAATGTTGGCATAGTTGTTTACCAACTGTTTTCCAAATATGAAAATAAGGAGTTGTCTGAATATCAATATTGATTGGATCACCAAAATACCAATCTGTATGGTTGTCTTTAAAGCTTTTCCATGTTTCTTGTGTTCCTTGGCTAGTTATGATTGGATCGTTGTCCTTAATATTTTCACATCGTTGAGTCGATGCTTCATTAGTTATTTCATATCGTATGCCAGCCATGCCTCGTATCTGATGACCTGACTGACAACGATGCTGATTTCCTGCTTGCCCCACAGGGGAGGCACTATCCAGACGATGATCCACATCGCACAATCGATTACAACAAGGACACACAGCGTTGCAATCTTGCATTCGCTTCAACCATTGATCCCGAGTGCTGTGACAAGATTGGTCAACCAAATACTTTAGTTGCTGCTCGAATGTTTCTTCAGTTATTTTTTTAGACTTCAGTATTTTCTCCAGAAATGTGCTAAGATAAGTGATGCTATATGTTTCAAAAATCGTTTCCATCGAACGAAATATGTCTACTAAGGGTTTGTTTAGATCTGGTAATCGTTGAACGACTTCTTGCCATTTCGAATTTACTATATAAGTCGCATCACTCTTTAAAGTGATAGAAGTCGTACTTGGTTCCCCTGCGAGATATTTATGAAGCAGGATAGCCATACATATTTTCTTATCGGACGCATTCGGATTACCAACACAGTTGGATAATTCAAATAGTTCTTCGTCAAAGGTATAAATATTAGCACCTTTCTCTTGTAGGACTTCATGGACCTTTTTTATTACTTGGAAGAATTCCCGTAAGCTCGCAAGATGTTCATCGATATGCGTCTGCAGTTCGTCACAGATTTTCTTACTAATATCGTCCCATAGTTGATTAAAACGGCTCATGATAGTGTCTAATGGTCGTAGAATGTAGTTCAGAAGCCATTCATCAGTGGCTTTATACACTTCTTCATTCAATAATTGAATAATGGAATACCGATTAAATTTTGAAGATTCTTTTTCCTTTATTGTGTAAACTATTTGTTTTGTTCTAGAGTCAAACAATTGGTACAATCCTTTGGAAATTTCACGAATAAGGTTTTGAGCAATATCTTCATCTTGGTTGTCATGAGGGACAACCATACGGACAAAGCGATCTTGTAATGTAATCTTATTTTGATCCATAGCTTGGAGTACATCGTTGAAATGAGTTTTTTGTCGATGATAATAGAATAAAGCGACCGACATTACGGCACAAATACGCAAGGAACACTGGAGGAACTTGAACAGGTGAAGGTTGAAGTTGTTTAATTCTGTGTTGATTTCTTGTATTAAGGTGTTCACTTGTCCTAGAACTTTCTGTAGAATAACTATTTCACTTGAGGGTTCATCACTGTTTTGTGGCATCAAAATTGGTTTGATGTTTTCAATCAGTGTGTCGAAATAAAGAGGTAGTTGAATAATCGATTTCCAATTTTCAATGATTTGTTCCGAAATATATTTATCGACGCCTTTCATCACTATAGTTCTTGTCCGTATAAAACTAGAATCTGTGCTCTTGAAGAGTATTTTTTTCAATTGAGTGAAGTCAAGAAACTTGAATGAATTCTGTAAGTCATACGGATCGATCTTGAATTTGGCATGTGCTATATGCGATGACACAGGACATACTGTAGCAGCTTTAGATTTACATTCATCACTGATTTTAGTCAGACATTCATCCATCGAAACTGGTCGATTAGAAGCAAGCAGAGAATCGACAGACGACGCATAATTGAGCACATCGTCCAGTGAGGATAAAGCTTCTGTGTCGAGTACATCGTATAGACGATACACCAAGCCAATCGATTGTTCCCATCGAATTTTCCAATCAAATGTTTTTCCAATTCGAGTAAATCGTTCTTGCCACATTTTGTTGAACTCTTCAATCGCCAGATTTTTATCCATAGCAGAGTTCGAGCGAATTTTGCTCAATGCTAACTGTCGCAGTTCGTTTTCTGCCTCCTTTACCATATTTTGAATTTTATTCTGCTCTGCCAGCATGATAGCTGAAACTTCCCATGAACGAAACAAGCTGATCACTTGTGCTTTGAGAGGATCTTTCGCCAATCTCGTCTTTCATCTTTACTTACAAGTAAGGGTTGCCTAATTCTAGACGATAGCAGATTCCTATTTCAAAAGTACATACTGAACTTGCTTCGCGAAAAGAACTGATGATGACATTTTGAAATAATACCAAGGAAGTTCTTCGCTCGTTCACGTACGTTCTCGTTTACTGCATTCTCAGTAATATGCTTTTCAAGACGAGATTCGAGAGTGTGCAGCATATCATTTTGTTTAACTACGAATGAGTCTTTAATACGATCGCTACTATTGTCTTTTTCTGCCTCGATGAGGTTAGCGACGTATTCAGCTGGTAAACATTGTTTAAAATGTTTGCGGATATCTTCTCTAACTTTATCGTACTGGGTTCGTTCGAAGATATCTTGGAAAAAAGTTAGATCTGGATTTCGTTTGATGATGCTCAATATGGTATGAGCAAATTCAATCCACTCGGTCGGTACAGAGAAAGTATCAACAGCACGATTGATGATGTTCGATGAAGAATCAATAAAAATCTTGCACAAGTTTTGCACGTTTGCAACGAATTTGATGTCAGTTAACAAGACAGCACATTCGCCATGAGGATCCAAGAATGGTTTTCGGTTGAATGCCGTCGATAAAACATGAAAATTTGTCGGACCAAGATCAATCAAATTGCTCAAGCCATATTTTACTAGTTCTTGTCTTATAATATTAATTTGTTTTTCAGCATTCTTTTTGTTTGGATCAGCTTTTTGATTAAGAACAAAATGCACTGTCGGTTGTTTGACAATAGTTTTATCAAGATAATGAAGCGATTGGGTGCATAGTAAGAGCATTCTTTTAAGAGTTTCACTGATTTCACCGCTAATGTTAACAATAACTAGATGTGATACTGCCAAACAAAAGAGAATTAAACGTTTATCGTACTGAGTATCCCCTTTCTCGATAGACAGAAGACCTTCAGTGTCGATCACGAGTATATAATCATAATCAAGTGTAACAATATTATGCTTGACATTTCTAGAGTTGACATTTACCAGTGTTCCATATACACCTGCAACATAGATATCGCTGTGTTGATTTCAGTCAAATGAAAAATTCAAAATAATGAACGATCCAAAGAGGAAAGTTTAGTCTCTATCATGACTGGCTTAAAATACTTCGAAATATTACTTCTGCTACACCGTCACTCGAGTAGTGATTGAAAAGAAATTTTATTTTTCCGACAAAAAAGATTTAAAAGTAGGACTCAGAATGTTGCAAACTTACCTTTTGTACATCTTCGTTCACTCACTTCAAAAAAGGTACCGAAAAGGAAGTTTAGCAATGTACTTTTACCACTATTTTGAGGTCCAATTATACTTATAATGAAAATTTTCTTATTGCCCAACAAACCGAACACTTTTTTCAAGAATTCGCCATACATGTCGAAATTATCACCATCGACTATTTCGAAAGGATTTCCATCTTTAATATAATCAAAATAAGTTTCAACAAAAGTCTGTCGCACAGAATCTGATAAACAAGCTGATCCGATGATTGCATTACGCCAGTGAATTTCCAGCGAAAGCAACCAATCGTTTGTCTCATCTTCTTTGTTCTCATTTTTTACACGTTTCAATTCAAGTGATAATCGATTCAAATTTTTCAATTGTTCTTCTTTCTTTTGAAGTATTTCCATAAATACTTGAAATCCTCGACCATTCCCACTCTGTCCTAAGAGTCGCTTTTTTTTGTAGTTGGTGGTAACTTCAGAGAGCTCATTTCGAAGAGCTGTCAGTTTTTCTTCATCAAATTTAGCTTCATAAGGATCCATAGTGGCTATATCAAGCTTCAACTGGTGCATACGTCTAAATAACTGATATAGTGAGTAATCATCTTTCTTTCCATGAACCAGAATTGGTCGAATGCGATCAAGAAAAAGCTTTTCTTCAGTAATATATGTACGTTCAGTATCGTCCATCAGTTCCTCTAATTGATCCTTGATGTATTGGGGGCCGTGAAGAGTCAATTTGGCAGCATCATTAAATATTTCTTCACGTAATTGCTCAATTTTTTCATTGTTTTCTACGGAGCTCTTGTCACTAACGTTTGGCAACACGTAAAACTTGCAGTTTGGACAAGCTAACAGTATGCTTTGCTTCACTTTTTCCATTTCCGCGTCATTTTCATCGTCCAGATCACGAATGAGTAACAAAACGTAACTCTTCGGAGGCAATACTTGCAGTGTATGAATGATATGCAATTTACCAGAGGAGAAGGTTGTTGATTTGATATGAATGAGAAAACCGTTGAACAATCTGGAGATAATTGCAAGACTTTTGCTTGAGATTTCACCGTGAACATCCGCAACATTTACAGAGCGTCGTTCTACAAAATGATAGCCGAAATCGACATCGATCGTTTCGGAAAAATAGCCATCTTTCACAGATTGTTCGAAGTTCGATTCAAAAAGTGCATTAATTAGAGGAGTTTTACCCTTGCATTCACTCACACCGAAAGAGAGCAAGATCGGTCGATGGTAATCCCAAACATGAGTAATACTAGACATAAATCGGTAATTCCGATCTTCTGAGTTACTTGGTGGTTGTATTATGGGTACTGGATTACGTTTACTCAGAAGCAACGTTAGACGTTGACAAAGAAACCGATCGGATTTCATCATCATCTTGTCGACAAGCATACGCTGGCTAACACGATGAATATTCGGTGCTTTTAAAAGTGCACTCTTGAAGGGTACACAAAAGTCGGCAAGATTCTGTTCGCGTTTCAACAAATACATCATCGGTTCCATGGCAGTTAAAAGAAGTGATTCGAAATCACGATTGACGTCCTCCTTAAATTCTTTAACCATTTCCTGCGCTATTTCTTTTGCATTTTTGTCATGGTACTTCAGTTCTCCAGCATTGACAAGATCTTTCAAAGTGTATTGAGGCACTGAAATAGTTAGATAATGCACATATATGAAAGCTTTTAATCAAAGATGAGAACAAGCTCATATTTTCTCACAAAATATGATGTGATTGAGTATTGTGAAGCACGGCTGAAAATGAGTGTTTGAACTTAAGAGCAAGGAAAATGAATACTCCGAAGACAGTGACAGTATGAGAGAATTTTCGATCTGTGGTCTGTAGTCTCAAAAAACC